GCCTGCCGGCCAGCCGGGCCAGGCGCCCGCTTCTCCCGGGGAGACCGCAGCACCTTTTCTCCCCGCGCCCGCGCTTTCTCCAGCTTGGCTTCCACCGACTTTGCTAACCGCCCGGACCGCATCTGGACGCTCCGGCTCCGGGGCTGCACACAGCTCAGGTTTCCTTCAGGGACTGGAGACGAGAGGGGCTTTGGGGGCCGAGTTCAGCGGAATTGCGGGATGGAAGTTAGCGAATTTGGGCAACTTGCCTCTTTCACCCAGCCGACCTTTCCTCTCCCCCACACGCACGCCCACACACCCACGCACACCCACGCACACACCCCTCTCCCTATAAACGAGGGCCGCGGGGCCGGGCCGCGCACTGAGTCCCTGCCTCGCCGAGCGCCGGACTTGGAGTCACACCGACCTGGCTGCGAATCCCGGCTCCGCCACTTTCTAGCGCTGTGACCTTGGGCAAGTTACCGAACCTCTCCGAGCCTGTCTCACTCTTCTCATACCCGGGCTTAAGAGCACTGACTACGGGCGGCTTGGCTTAGGGGGTAGGCTCAGCCTGCGGCCGCGTCGCATAGCTCAGCGGGCGCTCAGTAAGTGTTGGTGAGGCGCGGGAGTGCCGGCGCTGAGTGCGCCGCCGCGCGCGGGGCGACCACGGGGCCCCAAACTCGCGGCCGAGGCGGAGACCCCGCGCCCCTCCCCGCCTGCCCGCCCATCCAGGCTCTACGATCGGTTCCTGCTCACGGCACTTGCGGGAGCGGACGCTCGGGGCCCCGGTGGCCTGGGTGCTCGCGCCCACCGTGCAGGGATGCTCCCAGCCGCCGCCAACTCCCGCAGATCCACCTGGGATGCGGCGAGGAGGGCGGCCCAGCTGTCCGCAAACAACGGGCCTTTAGTTTTCAGGTGGCGAAACTGACCGGTCTGGTTAGAGCGCGTCCAAGCCAAGCCGCAGTACTGTTTGGATTTTTAAATTTCTCCTTCTGAGTGAGAAAATAGCAATCGAGATGGAGCCATCCGGTTGGTGCCATTTTAACTTTGGGTCCCCCAACAGGTCAAAGGCGCGGCCCCCTACCTGCCTCTCCCTTCTCTCTTCTTCCTCTCCCCTCCCCACCCCCATCTGGGCGGGAGGGGGCTGCCGGCCCTGGGGAAGATCTGTAGAGAAGGGAGGGCGGCGGGACCGGGGACTGGTGGCCGGGGCCCGCGAGGCACCATCGGGCGCGGAGGCACTTGTTGCTCCGGGTTGTCCAGCCGCCTCTCGCGGCGGTTGAGCAGTGGTCAGCTCGCAGCTCGGATAGCGGGCTGAGACGTTTCCGCGCGGCCAAGTTTTGCCTTCGAATGGGCTGGGGGTGGGGGGGCAGAGTGGGGACCGAAACTTGGCGAAGCAGGGGCAGGGATTCCGATCGAAATGCTATTGCCGCTTCAGACGGACCCAGAAACACTTACTGAGCGCCCACAGAGCCCAGACCCAGGCCGGGGGTCAGGGCGGATGGGGAGGTGGCGGTGATGGGAGGGCCACAGATCCGAATGGAAACAGGGTCCCGCCTAGGGGAGCTCCCAGCCTGAAGGGGGAGACATGGTAAAATGGTCTTCCCCAGGAACTGATAATCAGAACAGAGAGACTTTTTTTCGCGTTCTTTTTTTTTTTTTTCTACTTTTTTTCCTCTCTCTCTCCTCTGTTTCTTTTTGTTATTGTTGTTCCCGCTGTTTTGTTTCTTTTTCTTTTGTACATTCGGGTACCTGGCGGCAGAAGGAAGGGAGGCTGAATAGGAAAGGGAAAAGATGGTCAGCCCCCTACCCCCCAGACATTGTTGTTTGGATACAGAATTGCTTGATACCAAAGGTGCCGAGCTTTTGAAGATGACATGGATTAGACTCCTTGTCTTGTGATCACTGGCTTGAAATATTCTCCGGTTGCCTCAGAGAAGAAGCAGGGCTTTCCAATCAAGCGGCCGTGGCAAACCCAGAAACTGATTTTCTCGTGTTTTCTCCCCGCCCCCTTCTTCCTTGCTCTGTTTTTCTTGCCTCCCTCCTGTCTAAATGGCGATGAGAAAGAGAGGTAGTGAGCGGTCACTTTCTAGAAGTGTCTGAACAGATTTCTAATGACCACTGGGAAGAGGGGGGTGTGGAGAAATCAAACCTTGCTGGACAGATTAGAGATCCTTTTTTAAGGTCCTGAAGGAATTCTGGGCTAAGAGGTATTTATAAATATGAAATTCTACATCTCTAACTCATCATGAAGGCCAGAATATAGGGGGCTCAAAAAAAAAAAAAAAAAAAAAAGCTTCCAGGAAAATAACTGGAGATTTTTCAGAGATGTTTAGTTTTCTGGTTTGGGGGTATTCTTTTTCCCCTCATCCCCTTATCCTTTGGCACTTGAGCTGGGGAATCATTTCTCCAGGAGCCATCTGAATCATTCCCGGTATGATGACTTGGCCGGTGGTCAGGTGAGGCATGTGGATATAAGGAGTGCTAGCCCCTGCTCCCAGAACCAGAGCTACCCGATGGGACAGCCACTGAAGCTCTGTGCCTCAGTTTCCCTCCAGGAAGAATCATTGCCACCTGTCATTACAGATGGGTGTGGTTGGCCTCCGAGCAGATATCCTGGGAAAGTCCGGTGCTGCCCAGGTTGTCTGGGAGGCTTGGAGGCGATTGAGACATTCCCAGCTGCTCTCTCTGGCTGCCTTCGTGCCCCGAGACCACCCTGATCGGCCGGGCTTCTCTTGCACCCATGCCGGAGGCAGGGCTCTGCAGCCCCATGACCTTAGCTTTGGGGACTCATTCCTTCCCCCAGCTGACGCAGCCAGCCTTCCAGGTCTTCCTTGCCCTCAGGCCTTCCCACTTTTCTCCCAATCCCAGTGGAGGCCCCAGGTCCCCAGCCCAGGTGCCAGTGGTCCACTGAGAAAGTGTGCTCCTTGCTCAGGGACATCCCTGCCCTCAGAATCAGAAACAGTGCACCTCACGCACACACTTGAGGCTCTGAAGTCACTCACACGAGGAAACAGTCACATGTGTCCCCTCTTGGGGATGTGGGCAGCACCTGGCTAAATCAAGCACCTTTCCTGCCTTGGGCAAATGTTCTAGCTTGATCTCCTACCTCTGCTCAGGTGGTTTCTGGTCTTGGGCCTAACGCTGTTACCATCCTTGCCTCGTAGGTATGTGGAGCTGCCCTGCTTAGGGCTTTGCTAGTGCTCTCTCGGTCAGTAAAGCCTTGGTCCTTATTACTTCTTTTCCCTCACATACAGCACGAAAGCTCCAGCTGACGGCATCATCTCCCACCAATTTATCCAGCTTCTGCCAAGGCTCTGAAATGCCAACTATGTCAAGGCCTGCACTTGATGTCAAGGGTGGCACTTCACCTGTGAAGGAGGTAACTTCCGCCATCTTGCCGATGGAGACACCGAGAGGCATGGGAAGACGACCTGGTCCGGGCCTTGTGGTAGGCCCTCCCATGCACGGTAGCTAGTGTCCTTTAGCAGAGAGGAGACAGCAGGGCTTTCTCTGGGAAGAATGAGAATAGCTTCTGCCTAAGTATGGTCAACTCGAGCCCACCGAGGTGTTGAAAGATGGCAGAGAAGGGGAACAGAGAAGCAGAAGCGGCACAGGGCCGCTCCTTTGAAGAGATTGCTGTGAGGCTGAGAAGAGAGCCAATGAGGTGCCCTTTTCGGAATAGTGACGTGAAGGAGGGGCCAGGGGGAGAGAGATGAAAGCCACTGACCCACGTAGGATGGCGGGCGCCCAGCACCGAGGACTTGGGTCTGAGCTCAGTGCTCGGGACCGTGGTAGCAAAAGGACACTCGAGCTGGGAGCCTAACTTGCCAGGGGGCCTTCTTGCTCTCTCCCCACCACCAGCCCCAGAGGAAGGGCACGTAGGGGCTTCCTGAGCGCGATGAACGGTGACGGACAAACCAGGAACTGGGGTACCAAGCTGTACCTTTCTCTGTCTTGTAGGATGCCAACCCAGAGATGAGCTCGCTGGCCTACTCTAACCTGGGCGTGAAGGATCGCAAAGCAGTGGCCATTCTGCACTACCCTGGGGTGGCCTCGAACGGAACCAAGGCCAGTGGGGCTCCCACTAGTTCCTCGGGATCTCCGTCTCCAATAGGCTCTCCTACCGCCACCCCTCCCACTAAACCCCCACCCTTCAGTCTGCACCCCGCCCCTCATCTGCTGGCCAGTATGCAGCTGCAGAAACTTAATAGCCAGTATCATGGGATGGCCGCCGCCGTCGCCACTCCAGGCCAACCTGGGGAGGCAGGGCCCCTACAAAACTGGGGCCTTGGGGCTCAGGCGGGAGGGGCGGGGTCACTCTCTCCTTCTACCGGTGCCCAGAGCCCTGCTATCATCGACTCAGACCCAGTGGATGAGGAGGTGCTGATGTCGCTGGTGGTGGAACTGGGACTGGACCGAGCCAATGAGCTTCCGGAGCTGTGGCTGGGGCAGAATGAGTTTGACTTCACTGCGGACTTTCCATCTGGCTGCTGATGCTCACCGTCCCTAAAGATGGAGGAACAAAGCCACCGACTCTGTTGTAAATAAAAAATAAAAGTTACTTACAAAGAGATGGGCCAGCTGGAGGTGTTCTTCATTGAGGTCTAAAGGGGTGCGGCACAGTCTGACGTTCCTTCTAGCAATTCTGAGGCCCACGGTGGGGTGGTGGGTGGTTAGCCGGGAGGAAGCTGGGTGGGGTGGGGGTGGGGCACAAAGGGGGCTGCTCACCAAATGCCGCCTGCCACTGCCTTTAATCTCTCCAGGGGCCCAAGTACCTGGCCTCACTGCCCTGAGACCCCAGGAATGCTGTCCTAATCAAGGCTGAATAGAGGGGCTGGTCGGAGGAGCAGTCTCAGATGAAAGACCTCAGACCCTTCCGCAGCCTCCTTGCCCCGGGCACATCCAAGCCTAAAGCGTTGCCCTGGCCACGTGGTACCCGCTCTACAACTCTAAAAGCCACCCTACCCACTCTCTAGGCCCCAGTCTAATCGACCCATTAAGGCCACTCCTTTGCCCTGTTGCCCATGGGCAAGAGATGGGACCTAAGAAGCGTCCTATGACTTGGGAGCTCAGATTTCTCTGGAAAATTGCAAAAGTAGCAGACTCCCATGATGACACTCTGGGATTCTAGGTGCCTTCTTCAAGTCCCCCCGAGAGTTGTTCATCCTTTCCCTCCAAGCCCAGGACACTCAGCTGGCGTGAGTGTCCTCCTAACGCTGGGCTTCCTGGCCCACCGGGTATGGGGACAGCCTGTTCCTTGAGGCCGGCCTCTTCCTCTTAGAGATACAGATTAGGGCTGGGCTTGACAAGTTCAACGTTGAGGAATATAGCCTTGCTCTTAGGCAGTGGCTTCACAAGCATGCCAAGTGGGGGCGCCTGGGTGGCTCAGTCGGTTAAGCGTCCACCTTCGGCTCAGGTCATGATCTTGAGGTCCTGGAATGAGTCCCACATCAGGCTCCTTGCTCAACGGGGAGCCTGCTTCTCCCTCTGCCTGCCGCTCCCCCTGCTTGTGCTCTCTCTCTCTCAAATAAATAAATAAAATCTTAAAAAAAAAAAAAAAGCATGCCAAGTGACAGGACAGTAGCACCGAATTGGATCCTGGCCTTGGGGGTGCCGGGCCCATCCCCGTGTTGACCCAACCCGAGAACCTGGAGGCCCCCCCCACCCATATTTCTGACTTCTGGAGACATTCTCCCTTGGATATGGTAAAAACGAATCAACTTCTCAGGACTAGTGTCAGGCCTGTCCCCATGGCAAGCGCGTTCAAAGTGCTTCCCACTGGGGGAAGCGGTGCCCTGGCTTCTGCGCTTCCTTAGCACCTGCTCTGGGCCAGGCACTTTGCTAGGCACTGGGAGTATGAATGAGATAAAGCTTCTCCCTTTAAGGATGTTCCCCATCTAGAAGGAGAGAGGCGCCAACAAATAACCATAAAGCGCAGTATTTGCTATAACACGGGGAAAGTGCTATTTGATCCCAGAAAAGAAAACAGCCCCATCTGCCTGGGAAGTCTGGGGTAGGCTTCCTGGTATTGAACTGCTTCATTTGTTTGTTTTCCTAGCTCACAAGTAATAAATACGTGATACAATCGCCCTGTGAAAAGTAGAAACTTGACAGATAAGGCCAAAGTCCCCTTTGACCAACTCTCTCCCTCAATCCTGATCGCCTCTTGCCCTCCAGAGAGGTAGCAGCTGTTTATCTGCGTGTGGTATATCCTCACTGGCCTCGCTCTGTGCCTTTACACGAAGATATATCTACCCTTGTTTTAAAACAAGAGTAAGGTCAGCCAGGGAAAGAACGAGTGAGAGAAAAAGCTGGTGCGTGGGTACGGGTCCCCAAAAGGGGCTGCTTAGATGGCTACGAAGTTCAAGGCTGACAGGAGTTTGGGAGGAGACGATGCAGAGGAAGTTTGCAAGAGGCAGAGCGCATGGGGCTTTCTACGCTAGATGAGGAGTGTGTCTTCATCCTTAGTACCCCCGGCCCTGTTTGTAGGAGAGCAAAGAATGAACCCACTTTTATTTTCAGGATGCTCCCGCTGAAGGTGGATGGTTAGATTCATCTAAGGCTTCCCACAGGAAGACGTGGGGCTCTCAGACGACCGGTGAGGCAGGGGTAAGAAAAGAAAGAGAAGAACAGAAGCCCCGGGGGGAACAGGGCAGGACTGGGGGCCTGGAGGTCTGTGTGTGGAGAACAGAACAGGATCTGGGGAGGCAGGAAGTGACGAGGAAGGAGGGAAGCTGTGGTCGGCAGGTGGATTTCAGAATCTGGACAGCTCTAGGGTCCAGGTGGCCTCAGGAATGAACTCTATAGCAGAATGGCAGGACGTGGAAGGAACCTTGCCCCTAAAAGTCTGGAGGGTTCGAGGTCCTTCCCCTGCTGGGGCCTTTACAAAACACGATTCCGGCCAAACAAAGTAAGTTAGCAGGCTGGATCCAGCACATGGGCCCCAGCTTGCTACCCCTGACCTCTGTGAGTTCTGGTGCCTCCAGCATGCCCTTGGGGTGGGGAGAAGCCCAAGCCAGGGCCCAGTGCCTCGGCGAGGGGGGCAGGGGCTGCCTTGGAATCATCGTGGAGGTGACAGGGGTGCCGTCAGGAAGCAGACAGTGGCAGGGAATGGACTGGGCATCCCTAGACAAGGCCTGGCGGAGGAGGGAGAACAGGAACTTGGACGTGGCAATCCTGTCTCCCGGTGCCCAGGGGCCGGAACTGTGGCCAACTGGGCAGCCTCCTCTCCTGAGGGCTTGGAGGGAGGAAGAGGCAGAGAGCATCCTCTAGGGAGAGCCAGGGCTCTGCCCAGGTAAGGAGAGGGGAAGGGCGGGAGGCAGTAACTGTTAATCGCTGGAGAAGGGGCAGGCAGGAGTGAGGGAACGTCAAGGGCACAGCTGGGGAAAGGCTGGGAAGGCTCTGCCCCTGCTCCACCCCCTCCCCTGTTCAGGCCTCTCCCAGCACAACCAGACACATTCATTAGGTTACCGGAAGATTCCTGAAGCCAGCTTTAAGTCTTGCCCTGGGGGGCCAGGAAGCAAGGTCCCCAGAGGCACACCAATAAGGAGCACTGCCTACCCGCAAGGAGCCCGCAGCCTGGGAGCAGATGGAGATGTGTGGCTCCGAGCGCCTCCTGGAATCCAGGAGCTGTGTTGCTCCCTGAGGACAAATTAGGGGGACCCTGTCTCCGCTGTCAATGAACTCACAGTCCAGTGGCGGAGAGAGCCACAGTCTTGAAGGATGAATTGTATTTCCATAAGGCAGTACTGCTGGTGGGGGACTGAGGGCAAGGCACGGCCTTCGGGCACAGGGAGAAATTGAAGCACAAGTAAAAAGATAAAATCAAGGCACGGTACAAACCAGAACCAAGCGCTAGAAAGCCTGCAGCTCTTTCAGAAAGGGCAGCGGGTCCAGCAGTTTGACTTCCTTGAAGGGCAGAGGGCTGAGAGAAGGTAAGTTAGAATCAGATCTTGCAGGGGTGCCTGGGTGGCTCAGTCGGTTAAGCGTCTGCCTTCGGCTCAGGTCATGATCCTGGGGTCCTGGGATCGAGCCCCGTGTGGGGCTCCCTGCTCAGCGGGGAGTCTGCTTCTCCCTCTCCCCCTGCCCTTCCCCTGCCCCAGGCCCCCAACCCCCGCTCGTGTTCCTTCTCTCTCTCTCAAGTAAATAAAATCTTAAAAAAAAAAATAAAAGAATCAGATCTTGCAGTGGTTTCTACTTTATTCCAGAGGCCAAGTGGAAGCTCTCGTTCCACAAACACGGACTGACTACCTACGGTGGGCCAGGAGCACGCTAAGTAAGCACTGGGAATATGTGGTGAGCACATCGCCCTTGCTCTCATGAAGCTTGACGTTTAGCAAGGAGATAGAGAACAGTCAAATAATCACACAGATCATTAAAAAGCATGAGACATGACGGGAAGAAAAGGTATAGGCACTGAAAAAGAGTGGAATGGGGGCTTAATTTCAATTGCGGGATCAGGAAGGGCCTCCGAAGGTTTTGAATAAGAGAGTGCTGTGGTCAGAGGTGCATGAGGAAAATGAATCAGGCCCAGTGTGCACGACAGATTGGAATTATGGTAATGCTAGAAAGCTGTTACAGTGGTTGAGGCAAGAAGTGACAAAGACAGGAAATTAGTCTATGATGAAAAGGTAGCATTTCAATGGGGAGTTGTTGTTCAAGGAGAGTTTCACTTTTGCAAGATAAGAAAGTTCTAGAAATCTGTTGCCCAACAATGTGAATAACTTAACGCTACTGAACCGTACACTTCAAAAATGGTTAAGATGGTAAATTTTATGTCGTGTGTGTTTTACCACAATTTTTTCAAAGATAACATTTCAAAGTAGACAGGAAGTGGTGTACTAGTCAATAAATGCTTTGGGACAACTAGATATGCTCCCTCACAATATACACCAAAATGAATTCCAGATAGACTGAAGATTTAAAAATTCAAAAATGAAACCATAAAAGTACTAGAAGAAAATATGAGGGGATTTAAAAAGAAAATATTGAAATCAGGAGGCTGTTCCAAGAATGACACAAAACCCAGAAGCTATGGAAGAGACTGACACATTCAACCACATTTTAAAAAACTTTACGGCAAAAACTACTGTTAAAAAGGCACAATCCAAAGATAAACAATAAGCTGAGGAAAATATCTGCCACTCACAATAAATATGAAAACAACTCTCACACATCAATACCTCAAACACCACCAGCCAATAAAAAATGAGCAAATAATGTCAAAAAAATACCAAAATGAAATATACAAAAAGAAATTAAAGTGGCTTCAAAACTGATCAGAAGGTGCTCAAATGCACTCATACTAAAAGAAATGTATTTCAGGGTGGCTGGCCTTCGGCTCAGGTCATGATCTAAGGGTCCTGGGATTGAGTCCCGCTTCGGGGCTCCTGGCTCAGCGGGGGGTCTGCTTCTCCCTCTGCCCCTCCCCCCTGCTTTTGCTCATGCGCTCTCTCCTTCTCTATCTCAAATAAATAAATTTTAAAAATCTTTTTTAAAAGTTTAATAAATAAATAAAAGAAATGTATTTCCAAACTACACTAAGGGACTTCTGGTTCCAGAATGAGATAATGT